TGGGGCCTATTTCATAAAACTATTTTGCAACTTGGCATTTTGCACTATGTAAATTTACGATTTTGATGCGTACAAAATATTTGTTTCTTAATATAATATCGGTAACTTTGAAGATTAATTTTTCACTTTGACTTTGCAAATTGCTTTTCAAATTTTACTTTTTAACTTCAAATAAAGACAATAATGCTGCACCATCCTTCACATTAGTTCAGATAAGTGACCATTTCTCTATTTCAAAAAGGGAACGAGACATGACTAAATAATATTTCCCATTTTCTTTTCAATATTAGTTTCTATAGTTGTCTTTATGTCTTTATTCTATTTCTATGTTCATCGTCTAAATAACAAAAGTAGCTTTTCAGCCGTATTCACTATTTAGGTATACAGGGTATCGCATAAATATACAGACAAAATTTTAGAAGTATTAGGGGATATCATAAACATTTTTTGCTTAATAAACGTATGTGTGAAAACTCTTTGTTTCCGAGATATAGGGTGTAGAAGTTAAAAAAAAATAAATTTTTTATCAACATATTATATGCATTTTAACTGAGTTCAATGAAGTTTGTTATAATCTTCATGAGACATCTTTCAAATATCCCACGGGGCAAGTCTATTATTATTTTTTGCTAAAAAAAGGTTATCGCCCTGTATATTTTTTAAATTTTTTAAGTGTTTTTGATAAAGCAACTAAAAATATAACATTTCGATCCCTATTTTTCCTATCTTGCTTTGTTTTTGTTTTGAGATGTAATTTTAGTTGTTTTAGAGACGTGCGAAAGTGGATATTAATTTTTTCAACAAATATATTAATATTACTTGTAAAAGAACTTTATTTTATCTGATTTTTTCTGTCCCCGTTGACAAGTGTATATATCATATATGTTTCTTTTTATAATTCAGGGTGATTTATATTTAACATCAAACATAAAAATAACTAAAAACCTGCAACAAAACGCTGAACTGGTTTCTTAATTCTAGAAGAACGTCTAGGAACAAAACTTTTCACTTCATTTGGAATGATTGATTCTTCATTAAGATTGGTAGGTTTTAAATTTTCTGTTGATTTTGTTTGGTGTTCTGGCATACTATTTTCTTGTAAATGTTGTTCAATATCATGTTCTTGGGTTTCAATATTTGTGGATTGATTTGATATTATATTTTTTCCATTCATTTGCTAAGGTAGTGTTTGAGTATACTTCGCACTAAATAGCCTCTTTTGTAGAACCACATGAGTTATTAGCATCTCACATGGACATTTTGATGATTATAACGTATTTGTTTCATTTCGATTTTGATCTAGTACTTGGGGTTTCCCAACTTGACATGGTCTCAATTGAGTGTAGTGTCTTTTTATTTTTATCCCATCATCCAATTCAATAAGATAATGCACTTTCCCAAATCCCTGAGCTACTACACGATACTTCCAATATTGAGATACTGTGTAGTTCCTTGAATGGACTCTCTGACCTACTTCATAAAATTTGTCAAATTATGTTTGTTGAAAATTGGAATTAGTTCTTTTGAAATTCCTTATAAGATCTAAGTTTGTTCTAATTTTTCTCTGTAAAAATATTTCTGCCGGTGAATTTCCATTAGCCAAAGGATAGCTTGTAGTTTTTGGTGTATTGTTCCTGGACATTCAGTTTAATTTATCTTTTAATGTTTGGCAGTAGCGTTCAACTTGCCCATTTGTTGCTGGATGGCCAGGGGCTATAAATCTTTTAATAAAGTTGGTTGAAGTTTCTTCGAAATGATAACTCTATTCCCTCTATATAAAATTTCTTCCTGTAGGGAAAGTTCTGGATCACGAAGTGTTCCTGTCGAGATAGATTTCTTTAGTTTTATAAGCTCAGGATCACGATTAGTTTCTTGTGCTATTTCTTTTGCTGAAATTTTCTGTTGAAATTTCATTTATTGTATGTATGTTGAGAAAGTATACATCATTCATGACTCTTTCTTTATAGGGTTTCTAGAGAGATAATCGACGTTGACGTGATCTGAAGATTTTCTATATTCGATGGAGTAGTCGAAACCAGAGCGAAATTGAGCATCGTATCATTCTTGTAGCTGTTAGAGTAGGTAATTGTTTTGATGTTAAGAATTTACACTAGAACAATTCATTCTCTTTAGAGTAACTGGTATTTCTCGTATTTTATTATTTTTACAATAAAAATATTTCAAAAATAAAAAGACCACTGCCGTTTTTAATCAATGAAAGCTGGAAAATAATAAAATGTTATGGACTTCTATTCTTTCCATGTTTTGAAACAATCTGTACAATCCAAACTAAATAGAAAAAAAAATAATAATTCATAAGCAAGCACTCAAATCTTTTAATGCTTGCAAACCTTTTAAATGTTTCCAAGCTCTTTTGCCAATTAGCAACACTTTTTATAAAGGGCGTCAATTACCAATTAAAAGTTCTTGCCAGCACTGTGCTCGAAGCACTATTGTGCTTTTTTCAAGCACTTTTGAGACAATTACTGCCCAGCTCTGTTTTTGACCTTTCCCCACTTTGTGTGTAAGGTCTTTACAATCATTGTCCTTTTTGCCATCGTTTCTTAACCTAAATTGGGTTCAAATAATAATTAATTTTGTTAGAGCCTTTGATTTTCTTTTATAATAAATAAACGCTTTTATTTCCCTATATGTTAATTTAATTTTGTAATAAACTGTTTTCGTAATTTTATATACTTTTAATTTGGTTATTGCATGTTTAATGTAGACAAGACTCATTCAACAAAACGGCTCTAATAAAAGTAACATATTTTTGTTCTCAATATTCTCCCCTCTCAGTAAAAAAATCCCATGACAACCACCACCTTCTTTAGGCAATTTAAATTTGTTTCCTTTTTATTTTAAAAAAAATACATATTTTGACCTTAGTTTCGTTATTAATTTATCTTTTCTATTTTACTTTTGAGCCTGTAGAGGCAGTACTATGATGACCTGTCTAATCCAAATATTATTGTTATTATTATTAGTATACCTATGTTGTGTTGTCGTTACATAATAGTATCTCCAGTCCAGTAGTTTCGTCCCCTGGCTCCTTACTCTTCAGTTTATAGGAAGTAAAACAGTGTCATTGTATTCCCACGATGTTGTTATTTACTGGCTGGGCTATGTTTCTTCGTCGGCCTGCTATCCGAAATGAAACTCGAATTCTGTATAATTTAACAATTTTCATTTAACTCATGAATGGTTAACTGTGACAAATGGTATATTTTGGAAATTTCAAAACCTGTCGGCTTAGGAAATCTAATTTAATTTCTCTGTAGACAAGATCGTTTTAATAAAATATATGTGTTTCTTTAATTTCCAACATTTTTGTATTGGATCCAATTTTATTGTATTTATCGTCAAGAAATGAATTTAAATACGTTGCAGGTGTTTGGAACTTTTAGATTCATTTTACCTATGCTATGGTTTTTTCTTTATTAATTATAAATAAATATTAATAAATGGATAATATGATAAATGATAATAAAATGTGAAAGACATCTACAGTGTTAATATATTAGAAATATATTTTTTCAATGAAATGTTTAATTGCAAAATGAGTACAGAAAGTATATATTTAGAAATAATGTTTTCTTATGACAGTTCTTAAGAATTCGCCATAATAACATTGAAATTACCAAAAATAAATACTCAAAATGTTTAGGCTTATTCAAGGGCCACCATCTTGTTTTAACAGAAAGAAACATTGTAGTATAAACTTAAACGACAATAAACATCAAAATAACTAGAATTCAGTATCATTAATCGGAGAAACATGAAGCTATCTCAGGTAAACAAAATTTTACAATGAACCTACCTTATAGCCGGTAAAAATTATTAAAACAAACAATTAATGTAGGGGAGAGGGTGGATGATTTGGCCAGTTTGTAGAAATGAACTCATAAAACTCATATTTTTGCTGACATTTTGTATTGATAATCTTTAAACATTTCTAAGACTATTAAAAGTCGAAATAGTGACAAAACAGTATTTCCAAAATTTTTACCAATAAAAAACAAAATGTCAACAGTTTGGCCGAACCCTCCATCGGAGGCAGATTCGGCCAGCACTGAGGGAGGATTCCGCCTATGCACTATGGTACAGGAGATCCTAAATCTGCCCAAAATTAAACAAATACGAAAATAATATTTTGAATTAGTAGCATAATTCATTTGACAAATCATCAGCTCATATTATTCCATAAAAATTTCAGTCAAATATCTAGTAGGCTGCGCGTCAAGACAAGCAAAAGTTGACATTGTGTGTTATTTTTGTTTATTCTAACAGTTTGTAGGTGAAGTTTGTAAATGTGCAATATCAGAACGATTATTTTTTTGATGAATTCTAATAATGGCCAATATTGATTAAGGTAAGGTTAATTTGTTTATGTAAAATACATTGAAACTTTCCGTAATTTTAAGCCGTAATTATTTAAAATCTAGTAGATGATCTCTTTTTTGCAATTTATTAACTAAAAATAAAGATACAAACAAGTGTCAGCAAGTTTCAGATTTAATATAGACGTTTTTTATTTCTTTGAAATTTAGACTTATTTCCTATTAAAAAACAAATTGCGTATCAGCGCGTAAATAGGGTTTATTTGGCTTTAAAACTTTACCAATGACGGGTATTCTGAAAAAACTATTCGATAGAAATATTTATTTGAAAATTTGTTCTGTTTTAAAAAATTGTTTAACTAGTTTTTCATATATTTTGCAATAGTCTATAAGAAATAAGATAATAATAGCATTCTTAAAGTTTCGAGCACGAGTTTGACTTTTAAAATTGTCTGAGGGTAAAAATTAAATTATATTCATATTTTTAATACTTTATCTTCTTGCAATTTAACTAAAAACTCAAAACAGTTAAATATCTTATTGTTTTAGACGTTTTGCGACTCAAAAATGAAGAAGATTTCAATATTTGGCTCTCCGAAAACAACCCTACCCTTAAATCCTTTGCTGTAGCCAATTTTGTTTGGAGAAATTATGGTGAAAATGCACCAGAATATTACATTAAACATGTACGTTTATTTTGCGTTCATTTGAAATCAAAATGGTCCAGAGTTGACAGAAATAAATCATCTTTTATAAGTAAATTGAGAAAAGTAGAGAGGCATGCACAATTATAAATAATAATTTGTTGACCCCACGATCAGCACCAGTAGGTCGCCCAAAAATTGCCACTTTCTGACAAAAGTAACACTTCAGGATCTTCTGTCTCATACCACAAACGGAATTTTCATATTACAGGTAGATGTAATATCCAGAATTACCATAGGCAACTTTGGTAATAAGCTATGGTTTTGGCAGCTCTGGACATAAAGATCTCAATGGCATGTTAACTTCTATTGAATTCGAATAAATTTGAAATATTCTGTTTCGAAACCGGTCATATTTTCATGGAACTCTATCCAAGGTTTCCGATTCATAAAGTTCTTATACACAATAAACAAATAATGGAAAAATGCATTTTACCAGTTGGGTATTTGAGAGAAGAGGCACCAGAATAAAAAAAATTGCCGGAAGAAGTTCATGTGGAAAAAACCGATCTTAGATTTTAAAGTAGCATCATCAAAAATGATATAAATTTGTTGTGGGCTTCTTTAAAATGTTTAAATTTTGTTCAGACAGTGTTTAGGAACCAAATTATATTGAAACAAATAAATTAATTCAGCTTCGGATATAAAATAATTTTGGGCAAAATAGTGGTCTTCTGTACCATAGTGCTATGTATAAATTAGTATAAAAGACATGTTTATTAGCATATTATTTAGTACAAAAGTTGTATATCCTAATTTAGGCAAAAACAAATGTTTCTGGATAAGTATATATTAAAACAAAAGTATTGTGAATAAAAATATAAGATTTAACGAACATCCATTCCTTGGAAATTGTAATTGAATCGAAACACTGATTGGGTTCGTGCAGTTCCGGCTTTTTGTGGTTGTGCAAGTCTAGCCTCAATATCATTAACTTGCACCATTGCTATGTCATCAATAATCGGAAAGTGGAAGCTGGTCGAGTTACTATTTCGCCTTAAAAACTTTATCTGGTAGAAGCCATCATCAATTTCAAGGATTTGTCCTATATAAAAACAAACATCATTCTTTTATTTTTCAAACTTAACGAGTAGAAAATCATTAACAAAAATATGTTCATTGGGATCCATATCTTTTAAAGACAAACGATTCATTGCCATCTGAAGAATCTACTACTTCTATTGAAATGTCCGACTCACTAGATGATTCCTTAATCAACTTTTTTTCTTTCTAAAACACATTTCTCTTTACTGTCTTCTTGTTAGCATTTACCCTCTTATTTTCTCGTTCGTTTTCAATTGATTGTTTAGCAAGTAGTTCTGGTGTATCGGCGTAAATTTTTGACTTACTTTCGCGTTTTCTCTTTTTAATCTTTACTTCCCGTTGCGCTTTTTGAACAGGTCTTATTGTTTCAAGAAGATTGGTCTCATTTGTTACATCATTAGAGTTATTTGATATTATCTTCACAGGAGCGAATTGCATTTTTTATCATCAGTTCATCAACTTCTTTGTCAGTTCTACGCTTATACTACAAAATCAAACGAAAAAATGATTAAATAATACCCTTACTAGACATGAGGATGATTTCGGCCGTGGCCGAAACCTCTACCTGCCTAGAGGCAGAAGCATCACCACTAGTCCAAAATTACAAACATGGCACATGTGCCAGTAACTATTTATATTTAGGGTTACGTTATTTATGAAACATACTATAAACAAGCTTTTGTGCGCCAAAAATTATAGACGATTCGCGGGAAATTTGAAATATTAAAATTAAATCGCTGGTGGCTGAATCCTCTCCCTCTCCCCTATAGGAAAGATACATAAGTGTGAAAAGGAGCACATCAGACTCACAATCTCAGGAATATTGCAAAGTGGGAAAAGGTGCCGTTATATCGCTCTCAATGTTTGGTTATATCAGACAAGATAAAATATACACACAAGAGAGACGTCCGACACGTCCAAGATAGGCCGCTGATATTTTGAATTAAATACTAGTAGATTAGACAATACAGTTACTCAAAATTTTAAACTGGTAGTCTATATCCTGGTATTCTAAGATTTTAAATGAAGGAAAATCGTTTGTTTACTAATTTTTAATAAAGTGAAAACTTCTTTGAAGAAAAGTTATAATTACGAGTGCATTTTGAAATTGAGGTGAGAGATTTGCAAGTATTATTATAGCTAGACATACGGTTTTATATTAATAATAATATGATATTTTTCGTCAGTCCCATGAACAATCATTTCCATAGGTCTTATATTTTATTTTCATCGTAATGGAGATGGAGCAAATTTTAAATTTGCCATAAAAATTTGCCATATATTAAATGTGCACCACTCTCTGGGGTCTATTCTGTAAAAATTTGGTTAAAATTATCCCTGGGTTATAAAAATAAACGGATGCTATTTTTAATTTTGTAATCTCTATTATTTGATTATAAATTATAACTAATGTCAGTAATAAATAAAGTAATGAATATATGTAAAACATATTTTTTTTCTTATTTTTAAAGCTGCGTTGGGCTTAATTTCAATTCACTATTAGTCGTTGCTATGTCTATTTTAACTGCGATTAGCCACAAAATTAAATTGAATTACGAAAATGTAATCAGTCTCCAGAACTGAGTAAAGAAGTTGTAGAACTCGTAAAGAAAGTTTTAGCAGCAGACCGCCAAGAGCTTTGGAAAAACTGTGTTGAACATGTTATCAAAGAAGAAGATGAGTATGTAGTATTACCCTCTTTACAACCCATCATAATTCAACCAAATTATGACTCTATTCAGAGGATTCAGACTGCCATGATTATTTATAAAGATACTTTAGAATTGAATTGTTTTTTTTTTGTTTTATTTGCAAAGAATTTAATTTCCTTTATGGTTTTTTCTTTGAAATTTCGTTTTCCAGAAAAAGAACGAATAGGGTACAAAAAGGGTTCAGTTCACGTCTGGTGCCCAGTTTAAACCAAACACCCTTACAGGCAGGTACACTTTACTCGCTTTTTTACGTTTTATAATTTAATATTCAGTTGTAGCAAGATAACGAGCTATAATGATTTTTTTTAAGCACAAGTAAGATTACAATTAAGTGCATCTGTCTAAATAAGGGCGTACAATAACGTCCAATTTATAATTATTCGATTTCCTTTTAACGAATACTTTCTTGCATATGATATATATTAAAAGTATTAATAAAATAAATTTATAAAATGAGGTAGATATCTACGCCTATGGCAGATCAAACAATATTGTCGGTAAAGTTTCCGAACGAGTTTTTATGATCTGCAATTGATAATGGAAGAACTATACAAATATGGAAAGAGCTAACATAAAATCACCAAGCAAAACAAAGTTTTCCAGATACTCAAAATTTGTTAGTGTAGGTCCAAGTAAATATAACAAACAACAAAAATATTGCGCCAAGAGATGTAGGCAACACGTAATAAGTGTTCAAAATGGCGGAATGTTCTATCTTCTTTTAAAAGGCACTCAGAAAGCTACGCAGTACGACCCTTCTCCGCATAGTAAGAGAAAATCGAAGTATGTGAGTGTATATGATCAACTAGGCGTTTAACAGTAAATTAATATGGCAGAATTAACAAATACTTAAGAATCTAATTCATATCAACAGATTTATCTGAAATGCATTATTTTTTATGAATACCTACATTGTTGTCGATAAAAATGAAAGTAAAACAAAGGAATGTTTTTCACAGCAATTTATTTAAATAACACGTTATTTAATCTGAAATTAAAATTAAAAAAATTGCGTTTCAATTTCATTTCAATTAATCACGAGAAATTTTATTGACAGGGCTCTTTTGTTATTTTTATTCCTTTCAGTTTCATAATACTTTTATATATTCAAGTAATAAGTAGAGGTACAGTGGAGGCTATAAAAGTAACATAATGTGAAATATTTTGTCATATATTTCGAATGTTGGCATTACATAAATATAGAAAAAAATTTCTCAGGTTTTATTAAGGTTTGTTCCAACAACGATCCGAAACCAATCATTGGCACCAGGATTCTGCGCAGTAGATTATTAAGACCACCAAATTCAAACTGCGCACAATCTTGGTGGCAATTTTCTGATTGTTGTTGGACCTTTAGTTTCTAGTTAATCTGTGTTGTTTCTAAATTAGACCATGATTGACAAAGACTGCTTCGATAGCCTAATTTAATTTTTTTTTGTGGTTAACTCCATATTAAAGTATTGATTATATTTACATATCGCTGTTCCGGTAAAACAACGACGCAAATGCAAAATTATAAATTTTTCAGGAGAGCCGAAAAACGAATATTATTACTTCCAAATTTGAGCACATAAATCACAAACAACTTGTCCTAAATAGCAAATACAACATTTAACCATAGACTAAGTAATGTCTCCCTTAAATTTGCAGACACAACTGATTCATATGTCATTGTTTTTCAAAAGTGGAGGGGCAAACATTAATATTTGAAAATTGAAGTAACTACCATTTAGATGGCCGGGAGTGGATAAAAAATTTCGCCGTTATACCGTATAGAGAGACTAATTTGGAAACTAATGACATGTTAAAATCAAAATGTCACAATTTTGCACTTGCGTCCTTGTTTTACCGGAACGGCGATATGGTACCGGACAAACCCGATTTTAGGATAAACTAGTTTTTCCTAGGCCAAATCAGTTTATCCAAAGAGCCATAGGATGAACTAGTTTATTCTAGTCTAAACTGGTTTGTCCTGAAATAAATTAATTATGATTAGGAAAAACTGATTTGTCCTAGTGTAAACTACTTCGGACCGCGATTCAATTAGTCTGAACTTGTTAGATGGTAGCTGCTGCTCGACTTTGGCTTGCCAACTTAGTTTGACATTGACTGTTATGGAGCGTTTATCTTATTGCAAAATTTGTGCGTATTGTGCGTGTGCGTGTTGTCCATAAGCGCTAGACATTTTGAAACATTTTGTGTTGTTTATGGATCTAAAGTTCGGAGTGTATTTCTGTATCTCGTTATCATGGATGAGGCTTCATCAAGTGGGCACATAGGTCAAAAAGAGTGGATACAGAGATTCTCGGCAGAGGTTTTGAGATCTGAGGACGAGAAATCGACTCATTTTAATGTTTTGACAAAGGAAAAGTATTTGTCACTTATGCAACAAGTGGAAGAGGCTAAAAAAACGGAAAAGAAATCACCCTTGCAACAAAGAAGACTGAAAAGATTTGATGTAATAGAATTCGGAGGTGTAAAGAAACTTACCGCACGAAATAAAGAAAATACAAATAATATAAAGTATTATCTCACCGCTGATGAGTTATATGACGTTATTGACGCAGCTCACATAGCAGTAGGACATGGTGGTCGTGACAGAATGTTGGCTGAAACTTCTAAAAAGTTTGCGAATATCACAAAAGAAATGATATGTCTTTTTTATCCATGTGCGTGGTGTGTCAACAAAAAAAGATGAAAAAAAAAAGAAAGGATTAGTCTCCAAACCGATTTTGCACTCCGAAATGAATAGCCGATGCCAAGTCGATCTTATTGACTTCCAGACACAGCCAGATGGAAAGTTTAAATTTATACTGGTGTATCAGGACCACTTAACAAAATTTGTTCTGCTCAGTTCATTGGAAAGTAAGAGAGCCGAAGAGGTAGCCTATCATTTAAATGACATATTTTTAACTTTCGGGGCCCCATGCATTTTACAATCTGACAATGGCCAAAAATTTGTGAATCGTGTAATTTTACAAGTTACAAGCTTATGGCCAGAGCTCAAAATCGTGCATGGAAAACCACGACATAGTCAAAGTCAGGGATCAGTCGAAAGAGCGAATCAAGATATTGAAAACATGCTGAGTGCTTGGATGAATGACAACCAGACAACTAAATGGTTAGAAGGACTGAGATACATACAGTTTATGAAAAATCGGGCATTTCATTCTGGAATTAAACAAAAGCCTTATAAGGCAATGTTTGGTGCGGAACCTAGGGTTGGCCTCTCTACTACTTCATTGCCTTCGGAACTGCTAAAGGACATTGAAGACGAGGACGATCTTCGAAAACTGTTTGATGGGAAAAACATAGATGGACATGAAAATGATAAGGGTGAAGACGAAGATAGGATTGGAGACAAAGATAGGAGTGGAGACGAAGATAGGAATAAAGACGAAGATAGGAATAAAGACGAAGATAGGAATAAAGACGAAGATAGGAGTGGAGACGATGACATGGATGAAACCTCGCAAAATATTTTAGAAGCACGTTCAAAGGCTGCGCAAAGCCTCGAAAAACAAGCCAAAAAGATGAATGCAACCTCTCACAAGTCGCATCCACCAGCGAAGGTTGGAGATAACATCATGATACCCACTCCTGATGTAGACAGGGCTAAAGGAGATCTTCGTAACGTTATTGGAGTTGTGCTTGAAGCATCTGATGATGTATTTTATAAGATTGGGACCAAGCATGGTATCTTACAAAAATTATATTGCAGGTAATCATTTATGTTGCGGTTTTTATTTTACTTTAATTTAATATTTTTTTTTAAAAATGAATTTGATATCTGCGCACAAAAGTTTTTATTGGAAGAAGAAGTAAACAAAAACATTGAACTTTCGTTAAGAACCGCAGCGATCAAATATTCAGTTGAAACAGGCCAAGGTTTTTTTAAGTGTGGTTGCACCAAGAAGTGTACGTCGAACCGATGCCTTTGCAAAAAAAATAACGCTCTCTGCAGCTCGAAATGCCATAATAGTTTGACATGTAATAACAAGTAAATAATACCCAAAAATTAATAAACATGTTTGTAATGATAGCATTATCTTTAAATAGTAGTAAAAACGTTACTTTTGTGAAAAGACTGTATGTAGACTAGTTTTGCCTGATCACAATTAGTTGATTTTAGGACGAATCAGTTTAGACTAGGATAAATTAGTTGATTTTAGGACGAATCAGTTTAGACTAGGATAAACTAGTTCATCCTATGGCTCTTCGGATAAACTGATTTGGCCTAGGAAAAACTAGTTTATCCTAAAATCGGGTTTGTCCGGTAACATATGTTATGAATTTTGCATAGTTATAGCACAGCTTAAGCAAATATTTTGCTTGTTTTCACCCTTTGGTTTGTAGCAGGAGCACTGCAGCTTGCAGCTTATTATACCACCAGTTGAAGGTCCTTTCCCCATTCATTTCACTCTGCTCTCATTCATCGCCATTCGTTTCACTTCTTCGATATTTAACCAATAGTTGGCTAGTCCCATAGTGGCATAGCCCATGGTGGAATGTACCAACTATCAGCCATCTACTACGTGGCCAGAAAGGTTACTACTGTGGGTGCTAAAAATAACTTTGTGCATTTACGTTACATCTACGGCTCTAGAAATAATATCATTAAATACAACTCGACCTTAATAAATTAGAGCCTGTTTCTATTGTTAAGAAATTTTTCGTGTATTTTGCAATTTGTCTCGACATAATTTTGTCCTCATTAACCGAAAACAGAAGTCCTCGTGTTAAAGCTTTCTGACTCTATTGATAACAAGAACACTTAGAATTTAGATTCATTAAAAATAGTCAACCATTTATCAAGGTCTCGTTATATTTCCTTTGATACATTATTTTAAAGTATTACTTACTAACAATAGATAATGTACAAACGATAAGTGATTTAGAAAAATTACAGAAAGCTATTTCGAATACAAAAATTTCAATATCCTTCTTAAGTGAATTAAGTCATAATCATAGTAGGCAGATTTATGCACATTGACAGCAAATGACAGATTAAAATTTTTAATTAATCAAAAGTTATAGAGATCGTTTTCAGTTTTCATTCGGTTTTTATTTGTTATATACCCTTACTACCCTTACTGTAAGTATAATCATAATATACCTTTAATAAGATTTTTCTTATAATCGATTATACCTATGACAAAAATAATGATATTCTAATACTGAACACATTAAACCATATGGAGATATTTTGTAAATAAAATTTAAATAATGCGCCTTCTTAGTTTTTAATCTACTGTTTCATTATTACATCATTTTGATTTATTCTGTGATTTTTATAACACATTGTATGCAAATGTGTATCCGATTATAGTTTTATAGATGAGTGAATTTAGGTTTTATTACAGTACCTTAATTATAATACCCGTTTCAAATAATTCATTGCTGTTTTATAAATCAAAAACAAATAGGGAAATATGTTTTTTTCAAATAAAACACATAGTATATGTTGTTAGTTTCTTTAAAACATCTCACTTTTTTAATTGACCTAACCCCAATCCAATATATTGTGTTTTCAATTGAATATATATTTTTAATTCGAATGTTATTATTTTTTTTTTTGACCGATATTCTGTAACAATTCCTTTATATTTAACGGCCTTTAAAAATATTGGCGGCCTATAAAAATATGTTCTTATTCGTTAATTTACTTCTATCATTATTTAAACAGATTTCTTTAAGATACTCCTCTAATGTATTTTAAGATCCGTTTAAATAGTGACCGAATTAAAGAAGAAAATATTTTTAAAGGCCGTTAAATATAAAGGAATTTTTACAGAATAGACCCCATTAAATTGGAACCCTGATGCTACATAATTTTTAATATAATTTTCTCACAGAAACTCATAATCTAATCTCAGAAATCCATATTCTTTTCTGTTCCATATTTTACATGTAGACAAATAAGTCCAATGTGCTAAAGCAGGGGAATACAAATTCAATGGTATAGAAACAGTAGTTGTTTTTGACTATCGTTTTTAATTATACAGGACCAAATAATAAAATTATAACGATATTTATCAAACAAAACACCATTTAAATACTGGTACTATTTATGTAAGAACCCAGATTGCATATTAAATGTTGAACAAAGTTATTTTAAAATACCGTAGGTTATAAGAATGAGTTGATAACGAAACATTATAACATTTGTGACTGTCAGTAACAAGTCACGTAGAACACGATTTGGACTGCATACGCAAGCAGGTCTGAGAAACGTTGAAAGAAAGTACACATAAGAGAATTGTGTTTTATCTTTAGCTTAACAAAAATGTATGACTTGTTTTACTAAAATTGTATTTATTTTTGTTTTAGGTATGTACCTGTATTATAATAGCGATATCTACAAAATGGTGAGTTGGAGACTCTTAATTTAAATTAAACTATTTAGTAGTTATATAAACTAGTTTCAACTTCTTGAAACTTCTTCAGATCGGAACAAATATAAACTATCTATCTCTCTATGGCCAATATCTACATCTGAAACATTATTCCAATAATTTTGTATTCATTAGGTAGAATATTTTTATACTATATACAAAAAAACTAAATTAATATTTCTAAAGGGTTTTGGCTCCCTTGTTCAATATTGTTGCTATTAACATTCTGTAGATAAAACTGGCATGGGTACAAAGGTATCCAAGGAAATGTTAAGACTCATGAACTCGTTATAATGATCCATAGTTACTATTTACAGGACCCGAACTCCTATTTAGAATAAACAAAACCTCTGCTCAACAGGCGGCAGTGAACAGTATCAGTATCAATAAGCTCATGTTATAAAGATTAAATAAATCCACGCGTGGCTGTTAAAGTACTCTAGATATTCGCCATTGTGGAATAATTAACGGGACACTGTGGGATCTTTAAATGTGAGTTTACCCCATTATTAAAGTTGTAAATTTTAAATATAAATTTAAGATAAAGGAGCGAAATGACATATGTATAATATAAATTAAAAGTCACAAAAGTAAACTATCAATAAATATAGATTCTTTGCTACCGAAGTTGCTTAGCAAATAATTTTAAACTTTTGTCATGCTAGGACTACCACGAATTGAAGGGTTGCCTAAAAGGTGGAAAGTTTGACGTTCTAAGGTAGGAAGGTATGTAGTGCGTCTGAGTCCCTACACACTGCTTGTTGAAATACCGTCATCTGATGGGATTATACAATGTGTATACTTTGCATAGAAGAGGAATAAACCTTATAACGCGTCATCTTCAAATGCGAAGCTCTGCTTATTTGAAAAAGAGCCCCAGGAACACTTTGTAGGGAACCTCGTAAACATATCCAAAAGCACAAGATTATTCAAAGATAGTACCTAAATACGAGAAAAGCATGGAAATACAATAGACCCAAGAAATCACAGTGTTCTCGGCTAAATCTAACTCTTTCTGCTTATAACCGACAAAGATAAAGATAAAAAAGAATGTCCTCTGTCCCTTTATAAAAAAAGACTAGTGTTAATTTAGTCTGGATACCTGCACCTTAGCAACATTACCGGAATGAATTGATTAACGTGAAAGAAGGGATTCAAACAACCTATGTAAACATTGCGATAAAAAAAAAGTCTGTTAATCAATCTGGTTAACAGATTTCAAGTTTTCTTCCAGACTTTTAGATAAGGAGTAGGGAATGAAAATGAAGACAATGCTTTCCTCGAAAATTAGCAGGTATTGTAAGAATAGTACGGAGCCATTGGCTGCCACAACACTTTTCAATTTTCTTGTCATGGACAAATTTATATGTCGCATGTCGTAGGAATATACGAGATCTTCTCAATTATTTTCCATAACTTTCCATATTTGACCGCGGTTTGCCGGCCCAAAGTCTCTTTGATATATATTTTTGACTATGAAGCTCAATACATTTTCAATAGGGTTCAAGTCAGGACTTTTTGTTCTATGGGATGCTAAAGTCCTGCTACAAAAACTAAAACACCCTGTATATGGTTTTAATGATTCCACGTGGAACAGATTCAAATATACGACTTGCATAACCTAACAGAACATTAGTAAATAATAATTTTCGGGTTTTCCAATGTTTCTGCATTGCCCGCTTAATTTACCTTCATATCCTTGTAAATGTTTAAATATTAAACTTCTCTTAATTTCTCAGATTATTCCCATATTTTTTATTTTTTTGCTAAATCTTTCACCGGAAGGAAGATAAGAACCGACATAAAGAAAGAATGCTAAGTACTCAAATGAAACTTCCGCTGTCTTGTTTAAAGACAATTATCAATTGGTGGATTTTAGCATATGTTCAGATCAACACTTCTTTGAACAGACGTAAATCCAAACACGTGAGGATCCGGTACATACATGGATTAGTTCATTATACAATTCGTTACAAATGTCTAATATAACTTTCGCTTTGTTAAGGGTCTATTCGTAACAGCAATTAGGCACAGATTAGATTCAGTTGTAAATAAACGAAGTGAGCTTAATTTTATAGTGCAGTAAAAACTTGATAAAGGGCGGTAGTTTATTGATAAAGGAACTGAATGTTTTTAAGACAGGATCTAATCGTTCAAAGAAATCGTAATGGGTGAAAATGAATTTAAATAACCTTATTTTGAAATTTGTTATGGTAATAGGTACTTTTTTTTTTTTTTTTAAATTTCGTGTCATCGGCGTCGACTACTACGGCCATTAGCCTCGTGTTCTGTGTAGACTTTGTTACTGTTTCCCAGCGCCACTTTAGGAA